CTGTCGGAGAAAACCTGAGCCACTAGAGGTTGCTGTTAGATGACTTACGCATAACCCAGGCCAAAAGCTACCTCTGTGCTTCTCGATGGAAGTACATAATATGGGCTTAATATGGGACAGGGTGTCATAGTATTGTGGGGCTTAGTTTTGCTGTCACTAGTTTATTTCTAAGTTGGTGAGGATGTGATTTCAACTTGTGTGTCTGTAATATGTCTCAAGTGCTTTTATAACTGTCTCTCTGCTCCTCTAGAAAAAAGTTTTTCAACTTTGTGCACTTCCTTATGATAAACTGGTCTTAACTATGTTATCAGTTTCTTTGTCACAGTCAAGCTGTGGATTTCCACACTCAAATCTATTCTAAACAGAGGCTTACTTTTCTGTTTGTTTTCTAACACTGTAGACTTTCCATAGCTATGGGCTTGGACATCTATTTGCACTGTAGCTGTAAAAGCTGATAAGCTTGAGTTACAATAATCTTTTTTCAAGTGAAAAACAACCTGTGCTTACTGGGATGTTGGAAAAAGTTTATCTAAGATGAGCCCTCTTAAAGATTTTTGGTTTTAATTAAGAGCTTGCCACATAATTTCATCAGTAAAGTTAATGCTCTTTAAAAGTGTGGGTGAAGTCTTAAAGATTAAAAAAGGACTCTGTGCCTTTTCACTGAGCTACTAGTAACTTAATATTCATTATGATAACTTGTCTTAAACAGCTATCTTGGTTCTACCTACATAGTGCTGTTCATGCCAGTGTTTTGTAGCACTTAAAATACACTAGGAAGGGTAAACAATACAGGCCTAGATTCTCTATTTTAAACTGAGATGTGTTTTGGTTTGTTGTTTTTTTTAAGGGGGTGTTGCTCTAAGTTATTCTGGCTTGTGTAGACTGTGCCTCTCTTCTGATTACCAGGTGTTTCCCACTATCCTCACACAGAAGACTGGCTTCTAGATTGTAGTTGACCACACCCATTTAACTCTTGATTCTGCTGCCAACCTTGAGGCTGGGGTGAGGAAACCTACTAGCTCAGGATGTGTATCAGTACTTGCCATTCTTCTTATGCAAATTGTTCTTGATATTATTGTAACTATAACCCCAAAGGACTGACCTTTGTATATGTAGTCCATGAGGCAGTGCTACTGGTCAGCACTACCTGTATGAGGCTCATGCAAACACCCAGCACCCCAGGAAGCAGAATACAACCACACTGCTTACTGCAGGCTTCAGTAAGCATGATGGCATATCTGCAGTAGGTGCTAAGTTGGCTTTTTCTCAACTTCAGCTTTTGCAAAGAAAATAAAATTGCACCATTTCCCTCCCAAGCCCAGTGTGGCTGGGCTGGCTGAGCCTCCTGTTGTGGGGCAGGGCCTGCACCACTGCTCACCCACCAAACCCTCCCCGGGAGCAGAGAAGGGGCGACCCGTCTTCCTTCAGGTGCCGCAGGCAGCCAGGCCCTGAGGCCGAGAGGAGGAAACCCGAAATGTTTCTTTTTAAGGCCGTGACGGCGCTGCCTCTTTCCCCCA